CAAAAGTTGAAGACATTGTAACTGAATAAAGGTTGGAAATAAAATAAACAAAAACATATTTATTACTCTCTATTTATTTAAAAAATATAAACATAAATGACCACAATTAAAAGTATTATTTTTTTGATACACTCCATGATTATATAAAATGTGACAAAAACCATTAGAGTTAAAATATTTAAGGTTGAAGATTACCGTAGCTATCAAAGTATATGATTTGTGATTGATTTTTTTTATATGCTGTCCAGTGTGTTCCATTACCATTTTTGTTATCTAAATTAATAATACCCGTTTCATTTGTCCAAATTTTTTTTGGAAAATCATTTCTCATAAATACTCCTCTGAAATGTTGAATATTCAATATTTTAACATATTTTATTAAATCGATATTGGTTAATGGACGTTGTGGTAATTTTATTTTTCGTCCATTAACTTTTGTCGTTATAAAAAAAGACCCAGTCCTGATGTGTAGGGTTTCAAATAGAGTCCTTTACCAATTGCAATAGATTCCATTGTTCTGTTATGACGATGAGATTCCAGCAGTTGTTCTTTCGCAGCTTTAGCATCACCCACTGCTTTCGCAATTGACGCAGCCCCTCCAGTCAAGGCTCCAAGGGCACTTAGTCCAGCAAAAATTGGTATTAACGGTAGTATTCCACCTGTTTTGGGAACTTTGATGACTCGTGGTTTTGATATTTTCTTGTTAAATGACTTTAAAACTTTTAACGCTAATTGAATAGCTGAGCCCAGAGTTTGTGGTTTACTAATTAAAAGTTGTTTTTTTATCTTTTGAATAGCTTTTGAGTTTTGAGTTTTTTTTGATTTTTTCACATTAATTTTTCTTTTTGACTGTTTCCTTTTCGATTTACTTTTTTTTGTAGATGACATTTTGATTATTTTTTGTTCTGTTAACAATAATCAGAGAGAGACTGATCAAACAATTTGGATGCTTGCATATTTATATATTTTTGATTTTTTTACCATTTTCTTCGTTTTTTGTTGTTAGTTATTTTAATAGGTTCATTTAAATCTATTTTAGGTTTTTTCAACGATAAACCATCATCATCGTCATCATTATCCATAATACTGTCACTTAGTTTTCTCTTTATAAGTTTTTGTCGTTTTGGTTTTAAATCTTCACTCTCTTTTATTTCTAAAGGAATAGATATTTTTGTCATTGGATAATCATCAGCAATATCAATATCCATCTTTTCTTGGTGTTTAATTTTTCGTGCTGTTACTTTGCTGTCTTGTTGTTTTTTAACACTAGCTTTATGTTGTAACCGTTTTTTATTTGATGTTTCCGAATTAGTAGTGATTGGATTTCCTTGTAAAATTGTAATACAATAATTTATACCATCTGTTACTTTTTCTAAAACTTTTTTCACTTTATTCAATTCCTTATTACAATTTTTTATCGACATCTTATAATTTTTAGGTTTCAATCCTAGTCCTAATTTAACTTTTGCTTTCATTACACCAGCAACACCAAGAGCGGACAGCTTTTCTGAAAATGCTGTATTTTTTTATCGGAATTGACTCATTGCTTTCTCAGCTAAAATTTTATCAGCTTCATGTCGTTTTTTAACATTTTTTTCTTGAGAATAGGCTATATCATGTTCACGACAGGCTTCATCTAAACCATTTATACCTCTATCACCTCGAGATAATCGTTTTTGTAACTTTGTTCCAGGTCCACAAACTCTATAACCAGGAATATGTAATTCAATAGGTAACTTATTTATAGCAGCATTTAACATTGTTGATTGTTTTAGTTCAACATCAAACAGTGAAATACTTAAAAAATATAATTTATATCGTATTTATACCTATATGAATATTATGATCTATTATTTTTATACAATCAAAGAGAATAGTAATCATGAAGATAGTTAAACAAAATACAACCTTAAATGTTGAAAATAATATGTTTGAAGATTAAAAAAAAATGGATATAAAAAACATAGTATTTTGTTTCCTTCTACTATCAGATGTTTAATCATAGGTCCATCTAATTGTGGTAAAACTAATGTAATGATTAACTTGATAGAACATCCGAATGGATTAAAATTTGAAAATGTTTATGTCTATTCTAAATCTTTATATCAACCTAAATATAAATATTTGTAAACTTTACTGAAACCTATTAAAGGGATTGGATATAATACATTCAGTGCAGGTACAAACATAATGCATCCATCTGAAGCTAAACCTAATTCCATTTTTATTTTCGATGATGTTGCTTGTGATAATCAAAATGTTATTAGAGAATATTTCAGTATGTCTAGACATGCTAAAGTGGATCCGTTCTATTTAAGTCAGAGTTATGCAAAAACTCCTAAACATTTAATTCGTGACAACTCAAATGTTTTGATTGTATTTAAACAAGATGATATGAATTTAAAACATATCTACAATGATCATGTTGAAACCGATATGACATTTGATCAATTCAAAAATATGTTGGCAAACAAAGTATCAATTTCTATCAATTTTTAAAGATAATGATATGGACAAAGGACGTTACAGAAAACAGTTTGATCACTTTATTTCATTAAAATAACTATATTGTTATAATTAAATAGATAATAAATATATAATTCTCAATCATTATTGTTGTTTTAATTCGCTTACCTAATAAATAAAAAAAAAGACAAAAAATTTATTATAAATTTATTTATTACACTTTTTAATATCAATCACTATAATATTGTGTTGTATAATGTGATGGTATGTGTTTAGCATTATCATTTTTTTTAAAAAAGTCTTTTACTTCACAAACGAAACATATTCTTATATCCGCATCAGTTTCTCCACCACATATAATACACTTATATTTTATTGGCACTGGCATCTTATACAAGAAAACAAACAATAGGTATCCTTAATATTCAATCCACGAGTTTGGTTGACAAGCACTTTGCTCTCTTCTACACCTCATACAACAAAATATTTCGAAACTGTACAATCTTCGTGAAAATTTGTGTTCAAAATAACAGTAGTTACAATTATAAATATATATTATTCCTACAGGTCTAAATGGTGTCGGCCTGTTGGAATTCATTATAAATAATGAATTAATCAACAAATTTGTATTATTTATATACATTTTATCTGTGTGAACTCTAACCTTTTATATTTTTTCTTTCCTACAATACGGGCTAGGCTAGGCGAGGATCGTCAGTACTCTTCAGCCTCATCTCTACAGGTGACATTTTTCACACCTGTATACACCTGTACCTATGACGTCTCTGGTTACCTGCGGCTACCCTCTTTTGTTTAGGGGTTCTTCGGGGGTGTTCTGAAGGTAAAGACCTCTTTCTGGTCATTGTCGATCACTTCTTCTTCGTTTTCGGCTACTTCTTCAGGGCCTACGTCATCCGAGTTGAGAACTGGATGGACAGCTAATCAAAGTGATTCAATCCCGCTCTAGCTCATCTACTCACGTCTTTGGAAAAATTCCGTTGTCAAGGCAGTTGTTGTAAATGTCATGTAGTATGTCGTCGTTTATGTCGTTTATTAGGAGTAGTGTTTCTTTGTTAAGTCCGTCATTTGCCGTTGCTTTGTTTGGTTTCATGTCTGTCAGTGTATTTTTTATCTCTATTTTCGTTATGCTTGGTTCCGATCTATAGTTTTCGAGTGTATTCAGGTTTTGTCTTAGTATTTGTTGTTCGTGTGTGTCTTCGTTCATGTTGTCTGTGGGGAAGTATTTTCTGTGTAGATATTTGATTGTTTCTTTTCTGTCTTTAGTCCATGTACCGTCTTCTGTCTTTAATGTTGTTAATATGTTGGGTTGTGTATGTTTGCTCTTTATTATTTTGTAAGCTGTCTCCCACGGGTTGTTTGGGTCATTGTTAAGGTTTGTCTGAGTGATTGTCTTTTGTGGTGTTTTATTTTAGTTTTGTAGATGCGTCTTTGTCTTATGTATGCGTCGTGTTTCATATGTCTTAGTTGTTCATTTTGTTCCAATTGAAAGATTTTTCGTCTTTTGTTTGTTTCTTGTCTTGCTTTGTCAAGGTCTTCTGTCCACCATGTTTGTGTCGGTTTTTGTCTTTTTGTTACACGAGTCGTTGTGCTATTTCTGAGGTTTTGTTGGCATTTATGTTGCGTTTCTGCCGCGTATTTGTGTGTATTTCCCTCCGCATTTGTCCATTCCGTGTTCTCTATCTCTTGTTTGAGTGTGTTTTTGTTTAACTTTGTCAGATTGAATGTTATTTTGTCCTTTTGTGTGCGTCGGTGTTTCGTTTTGTCTGTATTGTACGTTATGTATTGGTGGTCGCTTAGAGTGTCTTCGTCTGATACGTTCCAGTCGTATATGTCTGTGTCCTTTGTTATGGTTAGGTCTACCCAGCTTTTCCCTCTGTTTGAGTTAAATGTCGGTGGGCTGTCGTGTGTGTTGTTAATAGTCATGTCATGTTGCACTGCCCATGTCATTATGTCTTCCCCTCTTATGTCTGTGATTTGTCCCCCCCAGCTGGCCTTTTTGGCGTTCATGTCCCCCCTAGTATAGTTTTGGTCGTGATGTCGCTGATTTTTTGTTTGTATTTGTTGAGTCTATAGTTCGTGTCTCCTCCCGGTTCGTCGTAAATGTTGATGATCGTTATGTGTGTTGTGGTATTTGCTTGTATGGAGATTGTCGTGGTATTGTTGTCTGTCATGTCGTTGTGTAGGATGGCTTTATTCGCCCAGTTTTGGTGGAGTAGTATGGGCGCCTTGCTGTTTTTGTTGAGTATATTGTACGTGTGTTGTCCATTCAGTGTGTGTGCGGGTTCTTGTATTAGTCCTATGTCTATATGTTCTGTCGTCATTTTCTTAATAAGTTGATCTCCTGCCTGAATGCCCCTCCCCATGTTAAATTGAATGAACTTCATTGTCAATTTTTATTTGTAAAGCCCCTCTTTGTCTGAGTTGGTTTGTTTAGTCTTGTCTGTGTTGTTTGTTAGTTTTGTGTTGTTTGTTTTGTTTGTTTGTTAGTTTGTGTGTTGTATGTTTTGTCCCACCTATCTATATACTGTTTGTGCCCGCGCTTCGTCCATTTTTTTGCCGTATATTGGGAAGTTAGGGTCTCGTGCTTGGTGTCCTCGTGGTTGTAGTCTCAGTCGTTCACAGTTTATGCAGTTATAATTGTCCTTGTCGCAGGCGTTGCCGTCATGTCCGTCTCCACACTTGTAGCATGTCGGTGTCGTTTCGCGGCAGTATTTGGAGACGTGTCCGTATCTGCAGCATCGGAAACAAAGTGCCACTTGTGTCGCTTCGTTTATGTATATCGTCTGGAAGTCAACATAAACTTTTCCGGATTTTAGCAGGTGTTTAATAATGTCACTAGGTCCTTTTATGTATACGTTCTCTTTGTAGGGGTTTCTACATGGTCTGGTCGATACAGTTGTCGTTAGTTTAAGTCTGTCTCCAAATAGTCTATCTAGGTCGTCGTTTTCCATTTTTAGTGCGTCTGTTAGTTCGTCGTGTGTCATTCCCTTTCTTAGTCCTGTCAGTATTGCCGTTGGTTCGTTTTGTCTGGTCCCGTCTTTTATGTCTAATGTTGTAGATGTTTGTGTGCGTTTTATGATTTCGTTTTGTTTGTCTTTACTTTCTGATGTAAGTACTATCGCTGTTCTTGTATGTCGTATTGTCGTGCCTTCAATGTCTTTTGGTTTTATTAGTTTTTTCAGTTCCGTTAGTGTGTTTCCTGTTTCCCCTTCTTTCATTTTTATTATTGTGTCGAACTTTTTAATCGGTTCCGGGGTGGTCCATTGTTTTTGTTCTTTTGTATTGTCTTTTGTTACTGTCCGTTTTGTCAGTTGTGCATATGTTCTTTGTCCTAGCGGAGGGAAATCTGTGTTTATGTTTTGTCCGAGTGGGGTTTGTGTGGGTAGAGTTTGTGCGAGTGGGGTTGTATTTGTCGTGGGTTTTGTGTGTTCACTTATGTTGTTTGTTTTCGTTATTTTTAGAATTTCGGAATGGAGGTTTTTTAATATTTCGTCTGTGTCGTCCGTCTTTGGTCTTTTTTCTTTCAGTGATTTATTCTCGTTCTGAAGCTTGTTAATTTCTGTTTCCTGGATTAAAAGTAGGGTTAGTAAGTCTGTGTATAAGTTTGATATGTCATCGAGTCCATTTAGGACGGTCCTTTGTTCGCGTTGTGAGAAAGCAATTTTACCCCTGCCTTCCGGCGTTGTTCTCGTTACGGCCTCTTTTATTAGTTGTTTTATAGTTTTCATAATGTCATTTGTTTTCTGTATTGTTGTTTGTGTCTTTGTATAGTCTCGTCCTGTTTGTTTATCGGTAGCGGGTTGGGGTTTAGGCTTTATGCTCACCTGAACAGTAGAACTTCCCGAGCTTTGCGCGGCACTTTCGAACACTGACCCGGCACTTTCACTATTGGCGCTTGTGGTGTTGGTGCTGTCTTCAATCTTCTTTTTTTCTTTTTCTATTTTGGCCAATCTTTCTTTTTCTTCTTTTTCTTTCGACTCCTTCTCTTTCCTAATTAATCTTTCAAGTATTTTGGCCTGTTTGGCCATTTCCTCCTGGTCTTTGGTTAGCTGCAATTTGACACTTTTTAGGTTTCTGGCCTCAGGGCTGTCTGACTCTGCGTCTCTATCCCTTTTTTTGTGATGTCTGGGGAGTTTTTGGACACTTGGATTGCCTCTGGCTCAGGTATTGATGCACTGCGTGTCAACGGTGATGATCTTGGGGGTGTTCTTTGAATACTATCCCGTCTAGGGATGGACGATGCGCCATCCAAAGCTTTGATTTCGCTCTCCAATTTTTCAATTTGAGCTCCGTTTGGTGACCCAAATGGATCGTCTGTGGATTCCATATTTTGTCTCACTAATTTGAATATTTAAAAAAGCAAGAATCATCCTTATAAAACTACGCGTGTCCGGATATGCGACCGTAAAAATTGAACTGCCAAGATTTTTTTTTGAGTCACTTCGGGCACTTGCGCGGTTTTTGGTTACGTTCTATTATAAGTTCGGTCCTCGAGAACCGACTCGAGAGTGTCGCGGTTTTCCGGCCTATCGGCCCGTCGCAGAACCTGCGAGAACCTCGACGGACGGTATTTGTCGGTCGCCGCACTCACGATTCACTTATGTTTTAGTTCGAGTCCAAACACGAAGTTCGCGTCGGCGTTTGTCGTTTGGCACTGGCGCGGCTATATTCCAAGTTAAAAAGTGTTCTGCGCACGTATGGGGGCCCTCACTTGCACTTCACTTTTACGTTGAAATATTTTGGCACATGCGCGTCGCCGATTTCTGTAACACCGGAGCCCTAGAGCTCGTTTGGATATTTCACTCACTAGCGAATTTAACCTCACTTTCTTGTTAGAATAAAGATACACCTGCTTCGTACGCGTCCGAAGCTCAAGTGAACTAAACTATGATGCAGCCATACATAGGCTAACTCAACAGGCTGAACAAGCATTGGAAAGCAAAGAAATAGCACTAGGAGTCTTCCTAGATATAGAAGGAGCCTTTGACTCGGCTTCATACAATTCAATACTGGGATCTATGCAAAGGCGTGGAGTAGCCCACTGCATTACGAGGTGGGTAGAGTTTATGCTTAATCATAGAACCATTACCAGTAATCTCCTTAACGCAACAAGAGAGGTCTCAGTTAACAAGGGATGCCCGCAGGGAGGAGTGTTATCTCCTCTTATGTGGACCTTGGTGGTTGATGACCTCTTATGGGAGTTAGAGAGAGAAAACTTATACACGCAAGCATTTGCAGACGACATAAGCATCGTAGTAAACGGTAAATTTGGGACTGTTGTATCCGAAAGGATGCAGCGTGCACTAAATATCGTCGAAAGATGGTGCCTAAAAGAGGGATTGTCCACAAACCCGACAAAAACCTCTGTTGTTGCATTCACAAGAAAAAGGAACCTTCAAGGAATAAAGGAGCTTTATATGTGGGGACAACATCTAAAAATGGCAAAGGAGGTTAAATATCTTGGAATCACCCTCGATGACAAGCTTAGCTTCTGCAGCCATATAGAAAAAACAACAGAAAAAGCTGTAAGAACACTATGGGCCTGTAGACAGATGGTAGGGAACGCATGGGGGCTTAAACCAAGTATGATGCACTGGCTTTACACTATGGTTGTAGTACCTGTTATAACTTACTTATCAGTCATATGGTGGCACAAGACTAAAAGCATAACAGCTAACAGAAAATTAGACAAGGTACAAAGACTAGCCTGTCTAATAATAACAGGGGCATTTAGAACTACACCCTCAGCAGCAATGGAGCTACTGCTAGGTCTCTCTCCACTACACCTTGTGGTGGAGAAGGAGGCTATGGCGGCGGCATACAGGCTGTTTACTAATGGATTTGGATGGGAACTTTCGAGAAAAGGACACCACACAATGATATTAGAGAAATTAAAACAAAATCCGATACTAAGAATGCCATCAGATAGAATGCCCATTATTCACGACTTCAGGAAACCTTTTGATATTCAAATACCAGAAAGGGCCAAAAGCCGGGAAAAAAGGGAAAAACAAAACGAATCAATCTGGTATACAGACGGTTCGAAAATGAAAAACAGCACAGGAGCTGGGATCTACCATGTGAACTCAGGGAGTACAATTAGTTTGAACCTGGGGTCACTGACAACAGTCTTCCAGGCTGAAGTAACAGCAATAAATGCCTGCGCCAAAGTCATACTAAATGACTCTCTTAGAGATAAGAGAATCGTTATCATGACAGACAGGCAGCCCTTAAAGCACTAAAAAGGGTAGAAGTACAATCTAAATAAATATTTTATTGCCAATAGTCCCTCCAGGCTCTGGCAGAACATAACAAGGTCACCCTTGAATGGGTGCCAGGACATGAGGGAGTGTTTGGAAACGAGAAAGCAGACCTCCTAGCAAGGAATGGAGCGGAAAAAACTCTTATTGGACCAGAACCCACATGTGATATCTCATACCAACATGTTAAATGGGTGTTAAAGGAACAAATAAAAAGAGAAAACCATAGGCTCTGGATGGAACTTCCTGAACTTAGACAGTCCAAAAGATTCATAGAGGGGCCATCCACGAGCAGACATCAACTGCTAAACCTTAGCAGAAGCGAAATTAAGGCCGTAATAGGACTCCTTACGGGACACTGCGGCATTAGAAGACGCCTAAATCTCTTAGGGATATCTGATGACTCCCTATGTAGAATATGTGAAGAGGAGGACGAAACTCCTATTCACATACTATGCCACTGCCGGAACCTTAAATGGAAACGGGAATGGTACTTCGGGGTACAATATCCGGAACCTGAAGAAATCGCGAAAGCGCCCATCAGACATATTCTTGAATTCATCAAGAAAATAAATCTGATGGGATAGAAACTGTGAGGGGTACAATAAGCCTAGATCTTCAGTACAAGTGGGCTTTGAACCACGCCCTAATTCAGATGATGATGATGATGATATTATAGATGATTTCGCTATTAAAATATCCCATAAAAAATTGTATATCTTTTTTCTTTTTTACGTTCTTTCTTAATGACAAATTCATTCGCCTATTTAACTTTAAGGCCTTCTTTACTACAAAAGGAAAATTATTATTTTAGAAAGGTATGTACATGGGGCGGCGGAAATAAAGTGGCCTACACTCATAAAAAATATAAATCCGGCACTAATGCCTACTAGGGTGCTTCGTTTGAGACGACTATTTTTTTTCTCACTCCATTGACGATTTATTGTTCTAAACATAGAAAAAAAATTCCTACCAAAAGAGAGCTCTTAATTTTAATTTTAAGTACTCGCTAAATAAATTAAAAGTTTTCCCATTTAATTAACCCGTAAAAATGAATTTTTTTGCTTAAATTATCTATAGCATAGCGACATTTTATGGCATTCATTTGATCATGGGTGGAAATTGGAGAGGGATCATTCCTCTTTAAAGGCTCTTACAGCTAATTTCCAACTTTTGAATTATATTGCCAGTAAAAATTGCGTAGTTGTTTTTTTCTCAAAAATCGTGATTTTTCGACTTTTTCTCTTAAACTATTCACTTGACATTAAAATTGCAAAGGACCTTTTTTGTAGAGAATTTAATTTGATTAAAAGCGGAACCTGCAAAGTACATTGTTTCTAAGATAAATTTGATTAATTATAAGAAAACAATAAATGACTCTATTTTATAGTAATTTTTATATTTTTTAATGAAATTACAGCTGAAAAAAAATTATAGCGTTGTATATTTTTATATTCAACCATTATAATACCTAAATTTTTGAAATTTTGAATTAACTTATGAATATTCTCATAAATATATTTATTATGCATAATATAATAAGTATATAATTATATTTAATCAACTAGATGCAATGGGAGCGTTTACTGAAATTTGTTCTCACTAGAGGCGCTTATGTTCCAACAACCCATGAATCTTAACCTCAAATTTTTTCATTATACTTTACGCATTTTAGATTGACAGTAAGCTGAAAATAACGTATTTCACATACAAATATTAAAATGCCAAGGTGTTGTGTTGTTAACTGTACCACAAATACTGGTCATAAATTTCCCAAACATAAAAAAACAAAGACGATTTGGTATAGAGCCATAAATAGGTTACATTTTAAACCATCAAATAATAGTATTGTGTGTTCCAAGCACTTTCAAGCAAGTGATTTTATTGAAACAGGATATCATTCTGGTGGGTAATGTTTAAATATTTTAGGTTCATAATTTTAAGCAATTAATTTATTTTAGGTTTAAAAAACACTAGAAAAATTCTTAAGAAGGGAGCAGTTCCCAATCAGCTATTAGGCAAACCAATAAAACCATTAATATTATCACAGCGTCAACAAAGACTTGACAACCGAATCAAAAATAGTTCATAGACAAATTTTAATGAATTTGATGATAATATGCCTAATAATGAAATTGATATAGAAAATGTGGAGCAAGAAGTTGAAGTATGTACGAATAATTCAGATATAAAAGAAGCTGAAAAAGAGGCAGTTTCTGTTGCAGATGTTGGTGTTCAAACCTGTTGTATTAACAGTATTTTGTCAGTAGCAAAATTTGTACATAACAATGATGTTTTGCATTATTACACTGGATTAGAAAATTATAAAAAGTTTCAGTTTGTTTTGCAAACATTAGGTCCAAATCGATTTAAATTTAATTATAAAAGAGTGCGCAATTATTCTCTTTCATTAGAAGACCAGTTTTTTTTAACATTAATTAAATTACGTAGAAATACACCTGATTTGGAATTAGGTACACTTTTTGATGTATCTATATCAACAGCATCAAATATATTTATTTCCTGGATAAATTTTATGTCAAAACAGTGGAATGAACTTGATTTGTGGCAATCGCAGAAGCTAGTAAGATATTATATGCCAGAAAGTTTTAAAATCTCATTTCCCCCTACTAGAGTAATAATTGATGGTACTGAATTTCCAATTGTAAAACCGGTAGAACCAATATGTCAGCAAGCAACATTTTCTAGCTATAAAAATAGAAATACATTAAAAGTGATAGTTGGTGGCACCCCTGGAGGTTTAATTA